CCAACTCCTAAAAAGAGCTGGACTTAAACTGAAAAACTGTTGCATTGACACTTTAGCAACTACATCACCAGTTACTATAAATCAGACATTGTTAAATGAAGAGCAGTTGAAATTCTCTGTTAGGACAAAAAAAAAAAGAGGATCAGAAGGCGGCAGTATTGCTTCCTGAACGATGGGCAGCCGCTGCTCTTCCACTCTTATATGTTATTATATGTATTTTTAAATGCAGCTTGTATAAGCACCTGTATCTGACTTGATATCAGCCTCCTGTAATCTCCTGTACAGTAGCACTTGGAGTGGAAGGGCAGCACAAGAAGCCAATCAGGCGGATTGCTTTCATGTGATGACAAGTGAAATGCTGACAAGAGTAGAGATCAGAGTGAGCAGATAGAGAAGCTCATCAGTCTGCTGCTGCTTCTTCACTAACTAGTAGACATGTGCAATTTGTTTAGTTACGAATCGAAATTCGTACAAATTTTCCTGAAATTCGTAAATTCGGAAGCATCCGAAATACGAATTGCAGTTTCCGAATTATATCCGAAATACGAAATTCCGTTAACGAATTTCGGATCCGAATTTCTTTGAAACAGGATATTACCCCTGTAAATGAGGTTGAACAACATGACAAGATTTTTTTTTTTATCCGAAATACGGATCCGCTGCTGCTGAGGGTTGCATTACAATACACAGGCAGGAAATACGAAATTCCCTTGATGGAATTTCGTTCCGTTACGAACATTCGTTATATTGAAGTTAAAAAGCAAAGTACATTTGTTAATATACCGGAGTTGATGGTAGTTTTTTTTTAATCCGAAATACGAAATTCGGATACGGAATCGGTTAACGGAATTCGCATTTCGTTTGGTTGACCAATCAGAGGTTTTCTCTTCTGCTGCTGACAGTTGCATTACAATACACAGGCAGGAAATACGAAATTCCGTTGACGTATTTTCATTCCGTTACGAACATTCGTTATATTGAAGTTAAAAAGCAAAGTACATTTATATTGGAGTTGATGGTAGTTTTTTTTTAATCCGAAATACGAAATTCGGATCCGGAATCCGGTAACAGAATTCGTATTTCAGATAAAAAAAACAACTACCACATCGACTCCAATATTAACAAAGGTATTTTTGCTTTTTAACTTCATCATAACGAATGTTCGTAAAGTTACAAAAATGTGCCGAAACTAACGAAAATTCGTATTTCGTACGAATCCGAATTGAGTTTCGGACACGAATTACGAAATACGAAATAACGGATATTCCGAAACGGAACAAATTTTTTGACGGCGCACAAGTCTACTAACTAGTCACAGACTGGGGGGGAAGATGGGCGACCTGGCTGTATTGTTGAACTGCATCAGAGAAAAGTCAAGTCACTAACCTGACTCTGCTGTCTGGCAGAGCTATGTACATTTCAAAACTGACTGGTCAGAATTACAATCCTCTAACAAGTAAAACATCTCCCCTATATGTATTTCAACTGTGTATTTAGCTACTTTTCCTGGATTTAAGCCCTGAATTGATTCTTCAGTGAATACATTACCAAATTAAATAGTGTTTAACTTTTACAACATTTTAAGTAAATAATGACGGATAAAAGTCTCAATGTCCCTTTAATCTACCCCACTAGTGTTCTTCATCATTACCACATTAGAGATCAGTGAAAAAAAGACAAAGTGGTCCAACAAAGCCCAAATGAGCGTAATATTCATCATTCCAGCAGATCTGCGAACAAGGCCTGGCCCGACCAGGGAAATGCCACCTTGTCGTTAAACACATTAATTTTTATGTAAATGCAAGTCAACTAGCCATAGTGGACACTCCAGTTAATTAAAAACAGAAGACAAACCAAAGTAATGCACTCCATTTGTTTTTCTAGGCAGCCTGCCAGTAGTTGGAAGTAATCCAGCGCTACCAGCTGGTAAATAGGATATATGCACAGCAGGGCACCAATACTCTGTAGAGTGTAAACAGATGGAATCAATAGAGAGAGACAAGTTAGACCGCACTTCTGCAGGAACACAGCCAGAATGCACAACCTCACAGTCTAGATACTTATACTGTTCCAGTTCATTTAGTAGCGAATGTCTCTTGATATCTGCTCATCTGTGTCTTCTCTTTTTTTTCCGGTCTCTTCCGTCTTTCCTCCAGAATGACAATTTCAAGAGGATGATACAAAACAGAAAAAAAATTGTGGCTAATAAAAAATGATCCATGATATGACAGGGTGGCTCTAGCATGCCCGGGTAAAGCATGCGGTTGCTGGCCGTCGAAGGATGCAGCTTGCTGGAAAAACTCTTCTGTTTGACTGGTTCCCTTACAGAGATGCCGTTGAAGGAGTCAATAAAACAAGCCCTCGGGGGAGCGGTTTTCAGTTTTGATTGCCTGCTTGATATTGTTGTGTACATATTCTGAGGCAAGGCAGCAGTGAGAGTCTTTAATTGTAACCATAAACGGCTGCAGATTGTTGTAGGTTTTCAAAGTCAATCAGAGGACAAGGTACATGTTATGTAAATGGACTCTATTAGTTGGTTTACCCAGAGATGTAAAAGCTCTTGTAGACACGGGAAGGCAGTCAGATGGGCAAGCGCAATGCCATCGCTCTCAAGCTTCTGCATCTGTTGGCGATACATTTGATCTCGGTGTCAATAACCTATTTAGCGTACAGTGTGAGGTTTTCGGGGCTCAAAAGTACTGTTCATAGTGCAGAAAGTAAAATGTACCCCCTACACTGAAACAACCCCCCCACACACACAGATTTAACCAGACCTACGCACATAATCATCTCCTTAATGAGCTCTTAACACTTATTACAAGGTTACAGCATAGATCACAAATTCCTTCCTCAAGTGCTCTAAAGTAGACTGCGACAGTATAAAACCTGACCCTGACCACTTCTTTGTTATGCAAAATTCTCTTGCATCTTTAGTAGTAGATCTGTCTTAAAACTTTGCAAACTGTCACACTTGGCTGCCCAGAAACTCCCTCAGCAGTCACATCAAGATACCTCCAAGCTTGGCTTGCCATCCACAAGGTCTGGCATTCCAAGTGTGCCATATTCTCAGACAAGCCTTTTTTTTACATTAAGTTACATCCCCTGTTAACATAGTGGAGGGACATTTATTAACCTTTTCAGATGCTTGAATGGCTTGCATCTCAGTCACTTGGGTGCAGGAGTGCAGCTGCCATCATCCCCTTTGCCAGCTTTGGACTGGAAAGATGCTTACTTACTGTACATCAGAGACATGCGGTCAGGGGAGGCAGGTGTGGCAGAGCCTCACCTAGAATTATGGACAGGTTTTTCTGTCAGCTTCATGTCTGAAGCTGACAGCTTTTTCTCCATTCAGATCGGCATCTAACAGGTTACACAGCAGGGAAATCCTCCCCGCTGTGTAACCTGTCACGGAGCCACAGCGGTAAGGAGCAAGTGAGGCACAGGGAGGCTCCTCCCTGTCTACTCCCTTCCTCCTTTACACTAGTGTGGAACCGGGGTGGGGCGGGGCTGCATTCGGTGGGGCTTTGTTTGGCGGGCCCGGAGCTTCGGTCCGGCGGAGCTGGGGAATGCCTCACCCCGAGCAAGAGGTACAGAAGGAACAGTCGACGTGGGTTTTGTCAGATGATGTGTTGCTGACTATCCAGACGTTACAATAATTTGGATGGATTCTCATCCCTAAGAAATCATTGCTGGAAACAACTCATCATTTTGAGAATATGGGTCTAGTCTTGGACACAGCTCAGGTCAGAGTGTTCCTTTTACAGCAGAAACTTTTGACACTCTGGTCTCAGATTCCATCTCTCCAGTCCAGGAGCTATCCAACTCTCTGCTTTTGCATGTCCTAGATATCAAGGTAGTCTGCATCATAGGCAGTCCTATTTGCCCAGTTTCAGACCTATACAATTCCATATTCTATTGACGTGGGGCAAGTCAATCTGGTCCCTGAACAGATTGATTTGTCTATCACCTACCGGTAGGACCAGGTTGTCCCTGGACTGGTGGCTCATGAATCCAGCTCTGGAGTTGGGATAGTCCTTCCTTACCATTGTTTGGAGAATCCTCATGGCAGACACCAGACTCCTGGGCACCCTGTCAATGCAGGGGACTTCATTGGAGGAGGAGTCTCATCTCCCGATCAACATCCTGGAAATTTGGGTGATTTGGCTGTGTCTTTAGCAGTGGACCGTCCTACTGGAGGGTCAACAAATCTGGAGTCAGTCAGACAATGCCATGGCAGTGGTGCACATCAATCATCAGGCAGTAACCAGAAGTCTCACTGCAAGAGAACTAGATGGGATCCTGTCCTGTCAGAACTTCATGTTGCAGCTTTGTCAGCCATGCACAATTGTTTAAACATTAGTTTTAAATACTCCTAAACTTAAAATAATTAAAAAGACCCAAAACCATTATAGTTTCCCTTTAAAGTGGTGAACCTTGGAAAAGTGCTAGGAGTTATTTGGTAAAAGTTATTTTCCTCTCCCCTAGCAATCTTTTTTGTGTACAATCTCTACCCATTCCAGGCATATGTATCATGCTGAGAATTGAGCTGGTTGCCAAGTCAGCTATATTCTCCATAAGCATAACTCTAGAGTGCATCTGCAGGAGTTACATAATCAGTGGCCACCCAATGGCAGAACAGGGCCCGACATTTTTTAGACAGCAGTGGTGGCAGACAGAGCAGTGATAGTGACCATGGAACTATCAGAGCTGGAGCGGAGCAGACTAGGAGATAAATCTGGAACTCTTTGTTGGTATCAAAATCTATGCTTTAATATTGATCCATTGTGATGTGATGTATAATGATTATAAAACGGTCTCTACAAGGCTCTTTTTAAAGTAGATGTTTAAATTCTGACACATATGCAGACAATATTATTCTGGAAGTCAGTCGTTCTATTGAACTCCATATGTGGCACAAAATGTAATTCTACATTCTCCTCAAATTTCAAGAGCTGAGAGCTACATAGTAAGTATGACAACGCCTGTTCTCTTCTTTGCAGATATCTAAGAATCTGAAAAACATTGTCAGGTCTTGTCGACTGTTTGATTATAACCAAAATGGTCAAATTCAAAAACATGAACTCCGACGCGTCCTGGAAAACTACTGCTTCAAGATGAAGAATGTGGAGTATGAAAAGTAAGTGTATATAAAATGCTGCATGTGATCATTGTCTAAACAAAGTGTATGTTCTTTTCATTTTATATTAATCTGACCTGTCATGCATGTTAAAAGTGTATGCAATCCCAAACAATAAACTTCTCTTTGTAGTCCATACACTGCCCACATCCCAAATACCAATTCCAACTCAATCCAATCGTGACTGATGCCCAGGTGCAGGCTAAACAAATGTGCACCTGGCTCTGTGTTGCACAAGTCCAACATAAGCTGCACTCTGCCGGGACTCCACCAAAATAAAATCACGCATTTCGTTGGGCTTAATCATAGAGTCTCTATGATTAAGCCCAATGGGTAAAATGCATGAAAGGCTGAGGATCGGTGAAGGGAACTAAATTTGTGTGTTTATCCTTGCTTTGGTATTCAATATGATTGTATTTTAATAGAGTTTCGGTGGAGTGCAGCTTTTGTTGGACCAAACTTTTCTTCTGTACCATAGAAAGAGTTTTTTTTATATATGTTCAATAAGTGCAAGAAAATTCCAGTTGATCTTGCCAAAAATCCAGTTCTGTGTTTGGTCCTGCACACTCTGCAATAAAACAGTGTTATCAGAAAGTGTGTACACAGATCAGTCCCCCC